GATTGTCAGAGTTATCTTGGAGGCCTCAGTTTTGCCTTTGATTGTACACCGAGAAAGTGGAGAAGCATGCCTCTCCATTTGCAGTAAAAGGAAGGCAATCATCAACATAACTATCTAGGATGCGTAATAAAATAGTTCAATGCACAGAAAGCGAGAGAAGGGTGGAGAATGCAACTGCGAAGGCGAAAATGGCCGGGGCCATCTGATGAAGCGACTTCACTGATCGTAAGATGCATTGCTCGCATATGTACTTTATCACTTGAGCATCATGCGTGTGCCTGAATTTAACGCACTTAGGCATTACAGGACGCATGTCGGAGTGAGTGCTTGCCTTAAACTCGATGTCACGCAACACTCGCTTGCACCTAAGTTGCCAGTTGCAGCACGCACAAATAAACTGAAACATTTTTGGCTTTGTACCTGCAGTTCACTTAATGAGCTTCCTGCATTTATGAAGCGACATTGGATTGACGTTAGAAGCTTGTGAGGTCCTTCATTATCAGGAAATCGTGCCTCAACACCAACAAAAGAGAGGGGGCCTATGCACGTTCGCTTGCAGGCGGCTCTCTTTGCACTACTCAATTATGGCTAGTGCGGCAATGGGGGCGCTGGTGGAGGCCTTTTTTGCAGCGCCGCCTAAGCAGAGTTTCACGTCTATTCACAGCACGTACTTCAAGGGTTACCGCAAGCGTATAGATGAAATGGTCGCCAAGATTGCCATTGTTGTTTGCATGAAGAACTTCCCTGGCACATTTGTTAAATGGAAAGATTTACCGTAACGATTTGTAACTACCTATTTTTAATACATGCATTTGTGTACCTTACCTAAGAGCCTCTAAAGTCGCTGAATTGGGTTGGTTGATTTAGCGTGCCACTTACAGGTGTGATCTAGACTGCCGCAGCGATGATGACATTTCCCAAATTAGTCGCATTCACACCCGGAAGATACCTAAGGTTTGACAAGGTTCTCAGAGCTAGAGCTCCATGTCAGCATGGCTGATACAGTCGAATCACGATAATTCGAACATGAAGGGGCCCAAAAGTTTGTTTGAAATAAAAGAAGTTCGAAGTGATCAAAGCTTAGTGAACGGAGGGCTCCCTATGCAGTGGCGCATATGTATTGAGCTAACACATGAAGGGGAAGTTTCAGAAGACTTGCATTTATTCCAAATCACAGGACATCCGTCATTAATTGAAGTTATCGGTGATGCACGTCTGCACACGTTTGTCTTGCAGCGCGTCAATCGATTTCGTAGTCTCTTTGCGCGCAGTGTTGGAATGAAAAGGGTCTTTACGTGGCAGGGGCGGTAAAGGGAGAAGCGTGGCACAGGCGCGTCACAGATCGGCATTTGAGCGAGCGGAAACATTCCAACGCAGCCTTTTCTTTCCTTTTCCTTTCCTTTGCGCGCAGCGTAGAGGTGTCAGAGGTGCTGCCGCGGGATTGGGCGGGGTGCTGAGAGCAGTTTTGGAGTGCGGTATGTTCGAATGAACCGTTGCAAGTGCTCGTGCGTTTGTATTACTGGGCATTTTTGCCCATTGGAATACACATAGCTTTGACGGGACCTCATTGTGAGTTCAAAATAACTGGAAGTTCAAATTAAGCTTGTTCGAATTAATGAGATTTGACTGTATGTTCTTTTTAGAGTCCTTCTTACAGCCACTCAACTTCCTTTGTTGCAGCTGCTGCTTGTAAACAAGCGGGAAGCGCCCCGACACGTGGTGCTCGAAGGCAGCTTTAGCACCTGCTGCACCAGTTGTCACGTGATCATAGAGCCCGGCAGCGAGCTTTGGCTGGCAGGGCTGGGTGGAGCCAACGCACGTCAACATTGTTGTATGTCGACAGCGCCTATCGCTGTCTACAAACATGAAATAGGTCTATACGGTTGAATCTCAGTGATATGATTGCTGTTGATGCGAATTTCGCGATGATTTGAATTTATAGTTGCATCGAATGGACTACATTATATAAAATATGCCCTGATTCGGTGTTACGGTGAATGAAGGGTTTCTCCAGCAACCACGAATGATAAGAAAACACGATTGACTACAGCACACGAGTAGCTCAACGCGGCTTGTCTGTGGGAGGAAGGCCCGTTCACTTTTGGCCTTGAAGCGAGGGAATGCGGCAAAACTCACCGGAATTTTCTTCTCTTGGTTGCCGGAAAAGTGGCTGGAAAGCCTTGCTGAGAGGTTGACGCAAAAAAAATTGGTGCGAGGCCGATTTTACCGACACGCGATAGCGTGTCGCCTTTCTGTTACAACTTTGGCTACACCGGCTGAGCACTCAAGCCAAGAATGGTTAACAACCAGCCGTACATTGAACATGGTGGCGAAGGCCTCGACGGGAGTCGCGTTTGCATAATCACGAACTACCTGTGCAGCACAACAAAACTCAAGGCTTTAATAAGGACATGTTCATAGAGAGCCTGGTTTCAATAACGATCGTGGAGAACACTGGAAGTAGAAGACAACGCAGCAGCAGTGAGCCGACATGCCCTAACGTGTCTTGCTTTTGCACTGCTTGGTGAATCTGTCGCCTCTGCTGCTGATGTGTTCGCTCGTGTCGTTTGTTTTGGCTTATCTCTAGAAACAACTTTTGTAAATGTGCAAACTCTTTTTTTTTAGTGCTTTGCATGCATCACTAGAATTCAGTATGGGTCTTATTGCCCAGAAACGAATCGTCAGGCCGCGATGGCGGCATTTACACTAGGGGCAGAACAAATGAGGAAAGAACGTGAACATTTCCGAGGGGCGTGGACGTGTTTTTGAAGCCACTTTGGCATTTTTGCTTGAATTCTCCAGGACTGAGTCTTTTCCTGTCGACTTCGCGGCGCGTCTTTTCGGCGGGTAAATGGACAAGGGATTGAATTTCCAATAAGTATTGCCACTTTCGCTGCCATTGACGCCAAGTGGGAACGTGCCTTATAGCGCCAGCAGCACGAGTGAAGAAACCGTGGCACTTTATTGAAAGGTGGTGAAAGAAGGAAAGTTCTTGTTCCCAATAAAGTTCTTGTTCATCTTCATGATCAGCTTTAACTTGTTTTTTGTTCATACAAATTCGAGATGATATGAAAATTTTGCATGCTCCCTTCAAATTCATATCATTGAGATTCTAGTGTAGTAAATTTTAAAACAAAACGTATTTTACAGGTTGTCACTTGCATTTTACTGCTAGTCAAATCCTGCTACTATTTGATGTTGTTTCCACTATCTTTGAATTAAAAATATTGACAGTCGCACATGCTTTGTTTCATATTGAAAAAAATATATACGGTATTTATTTGCGTAATGAATGCACTGGCATAATAAATGCACTCTCAACTGCAGTTGTCAAAATTTAGGCTTCTTTTTCGGGCATAATAAACGCGCCCCCTGTATTCATCCGCTGTAGTCTCGCTAACCGACACCTTACCTGTTGGATTTCTTTTGTTTTATTACCCACCTTGGCTCGCTCCCTTTCCTCCTTCGCCGGTTGCCGCGCGCCATATTGTTCTTCTTTCTATCTGCGCACAGCAGATGCGCTGTCCTTTTATTATTATACGTTTGCCACAGTGGGGTTCACGAATAGTCCGAGTGTAGAGACATCGCAGCTGATAAGCACACAGTGGGCGAAGATCATGAAACTGCCTGCGCCAACCGATGGACTCTTCCTGCAAATACGAAACTTTAAGGCACAAGGACGTGAACGCAATGTTCGAGCGACAACGACAGGATTTGCTGTCGCAAAGCGTCATTCGTTGCTGTTTCGTCGCAGGTTTCTGGAAAAGCAGAAAAAATCGCTTGTCGCCCAGAAAAGATTTTGATGAATTCCGCAACATGGTAGCACCCTCGATCCCTGTTTCGCTTGTTCTTTGCGCATATAGAAACTTCACCAGTGGAAGCGAGGGGGCGGCCATATTTTGCCGTTAATCTTGTTATCGACAGTTTGTTTTGATGCTTCGGGGGTAGCTTGCTGCAATGTTGGTTACTTGCTACAATGTGAACGGTGTCACTGCGGTCGTCGTGCAAGGTTGCCACAAAGTTAGCAAAGTGCGTTGTACCGTCGTAGCGCACCCTTCTGGGTGCCCCTCGAGATCACAGCAGATACCACTGTTGCGGTTAAAAGATTGCAAGAAAAGATAGCCACAAAAGGCTTTTATGACATACGCGGGGACAGCTGGCAGAAGATGAGTAAAGTGCAACAAAGAAGCTGTTTCTAAACAGTGTAAACGTATGTTAATTGCGAAAGGCTAAGTGACCTAATTTTTTTTCTGCATTACCGTATTTTTTGCTCACGCGGAAAAAGTTTTCATAAAATTTGGCCAGCATAATAAGCGCACCCCAACTTTGCTTCGATTCTTTTAGAAAAAAGTACGTTCATTATGCAAGTAAATGTGATATATATTGTGCAGGTTAGTTAGGTCATGACAAACATGCTAATTTTTCTTTATATGTGATAATAGCGTTTGAATTAGATTTAAAATATTTAAGCCAAATCTCAATTTGCTTTGAAACTTAAGTTGATTATTTGTGCAAGGCTATTGGAGCTGTCTTTTTTTCCCGGGCTTCTCCACTTGGTGCATGGGTGGGGCTCAATTGTAGAACAGTTATGTGTAAAATTTGTCTGGAGCATCTTGAGGGTCATAGACAAATCTCGATCCTAACATCTATTTCATGCACTGCCTGTTCTGAAGGGACTTTAGCTCACAGGGTCCTTGCTGGAGTGCAACCTCATAGAACAAAATTTGAGCTTGGCCCTCAAGAACTCCAAGTATTAACATCAAATTTGGGCTGGCCACAAAGCCTGTGATGAGGCAGCTAGCCTAGGTCTGACTGTCCCCACGTGGGAGCGCCCCGCATTGTCACCCTGAGGGTTGGCTCTTTTCAGAATTCTCTAAAAAAGTTCTTCAGATGTATGCGTAAAATTTAGAAAATATCTGGATGAGAGTTTCGTGAAGCTTGACAATTTAGTCCTTATCTTGAACATTATGAGCACATATTATCGGGGTGTATTTGTGCAGTGCTTCTCAACATGGGGCCAACCTGCTGAATCCCCTGGTTTCCCTGGTGGCCACTTGTCGTACTGAACGACAGGGCGCGGCAGTGGTGCTGGCACTACGATGCCTCCAGCAACTCTGCACAGCCGAGGTATTTAGTGCAATTTCTTGTGAGTTTATTTTTTCTTCCCTATAGCTGCATCATTAAACAAATTTCAGAAAGGTACATATTCGGGCTAGTTAGTTTATGATTTCCATAAGAAAAAAAAAACTATAGAAGACAAAAAGAAGAGAGGACACAAACCATGGCACTAACTACCAAATGTGTTTCATTCTGAGATATGTGTCTGCCGCATATACCGTATTTACTTACGTAATGAACGCACTCGCATAATAAATGCAACCCCAACTTCAGTCTGCAAAATTTGGATTTTTTTCCCCCGCATAATAAACCCTCCCCCTACATTCATACACTGCAGTCACGCTTACCGACACCTGGTGCCTCCTAGCTCATTGAATCTCTTTCATTTTTTATTGTTATGTTAACGCACCTCGCCCACCTTGATTCGCTTCCTCTCCTCTTCGCCCGCTGCCGCACGTCGTATTGTTTTTCTATTTGTGCGCCGCACGTCGCCAGTCTATCCGTGCTCCACGACAAGGTTCCCGAACAGTGAGAGGGCAGAGGCATCGCAGCTGAGCACACAGCAAGCGAAGGTTGCGAATGTGCCCGCGCCAACTAACGGTCGCTTCCTGCTAATACGAAACTTTAAAGCCCAACCACAAGCATGCAATTTTTGAGTGGTGACAACAGGATTTGCTGTCGCCATGACTGTCGCGAAGGGCCATTCGTCGCCGTCGCGTCACTGGTTTCTGAAAAACGAGAAAAAAAAAAATTGCATGTCACCCCGAAAAGATCGTGACTATTTCCACGACAGAGTAGCACCCCTGATTCTCGCTTCGGTCGCGACTTGCTCTTCGTGCATGTTATCCACGCGTACTTCAAGAAATGCAAGATATCGGCTACCTTTTCTACATCTAGTAACTTCTTATGTGGACAGCAAGGCGGGGGCCTTATTTTGTCATTAATTGCCATATTTTGTCGTTAATCTTGTTATCGACCGTTTGTTTCGATGCTTTGGTGGTGGCTTGCTGCAATGTTGGTTATTTGCTACAATGCCAAGGTGTCATAGTGGTTGTCAAATGAGGTTGCCGCAAAGTTGGCAAAGTGAGTTGTAGTGCACGTCTCTGGGCACCCCTCGAGATCACAGCAAATACCACTTTTGCGGTTAGCTGATAGTGAGAAAAAATAACCGCAAAATTTTTGCGGAAGACAGCCCCGCCAAACACCGAAGATGAGTGAGGTTCAGCAAAGAAACTGTTTCCAAACAGTCTAGGCATATGTCATTTGTGAAATGCTAAACTTAATGTGCATTACCATATATTTTGCTCATCACAAAAAGTTCTCATGAAATTTGCTCTGTACAATAAATGCAGCCCCAATTTCGCTACAATTTTTTGAGAAAAAAAGGTGCGTTCATTACACGAGTAAATGCGATATATCCACCACAACAATTTCATGGAAAAGTAAAGCAAAAAGTCAGCCTGTGCAGGGGCAATGGACATGCTTAATAGCACACAAATGTAAGCTCCTTCAGAAGCGGAGAAATCGAGGAGAGGCTTACATATGGTCTGCTGCTATTATACAAATGAGACACACGTGTTCGTCATGGTACAGTTAAACCTGCACATAACTAACCTTCATATAACAAATTCTTTGATATAAGGAAGTTTTTCAATTCTCTGCTGTTGCTTCATAGAGGCACGTGTATTTTCGACCTCTATTTAACAAAGTAACAATGGGCGACAACCTTGACATAACGAATTTTCCCCACGGAAAATCTAGAAATATTGCTCCGCGTTTTGGCATTTTGGTACGAGAATGCATGTTTCGCGGCTGCCCAGCCACTCACAAAGTGCAAAGTGGCGGCGGCGGGCACGGCGCACAAGGCGAAAGCAAACGCTCGTTATTACGTGCGCGTGAGCGCGAGGTGGGCAGGCGAGCCTGCACCCCACGAGCCGGCGTTGCCGCCGTTCTCACTGCTGCAGGTGAATGCGCGGGTGTGTCTCCCCTCTCCAACCTAAATAAAAAGAAAAAAGAAAACTACTTTTGCGCGTTGGCAGTGTCACGTATTTAGTTAGCGTCGCACATTGTGGGGCCGTGCTGCATATGGAGGGTGCTTTACCGAATAGTTTTCCGCGGTATCCGTGTTTGTGTCGTTCGCTCTTCGGTTTCGACGCCATGCGAGCGGGCATAGTTTCACTGTGCGCGCATGGTGTGGCCCCCTACGACTGTCAGCTTTGCTTCTTTTTATTGCGCAATTATATGGACAGTCTCGACTGGTTTTTTGCCGTCGCCGCCACCTCCATCATTCACCGTATATGTATATATATATATATATATGAAAACTCAAGAAAGAAAAAAAAAGTTGTCTGCGTTTCGCGCCCAGCTCGTCACGCGTACTTTGCTCCTCCTGAATGCGGGGAGGGGGGTTAGATGCTTGTGCGCACACTTCCTTCGGTGGAGAGAATCACGCGCCTTCGACTTTGACCGGAACAATTGCGTTTAGTTGCCGGGTGCAGAAAGATCACTTCGCTTGCTGGACAGGCATCGTTTACGAAAAGAGTGCGCTTTTCAAACACAGCGAAGTAACAACTGGGGCACTTCTTAGTTCGCACTCATATCTGTAGCTGTAGTGATATTTCGTGCCTCGTTGTTGTTTAAACAACAAACAACAGCGTTGAGTGTTGAGGTGCAAACGTTGTTAGTTCACTCTTGTCCTGCGTATGTTGCTTTCGTGTGTGTTATTTATGTGTGAGGAGCACGCTGCATGTTTCGATCTGGTTGCCATTCTCTGTGTTACATTCCAAGTTGTTATTATTGCATTAATTGCTTCACCCTGGCGGCAAAACTGTGATTTTCTTTTTTTAATTTCGGACTACCGTGTTGTCATCACAGAGGGGATGGCAGATTAGGCGCTGATGGAAACTCTTCGAGACCACGGTGACAATGGATATTCAGAGGTTGACTCTTCACGCGTTTCTGTTTTGCGCCACGCCGCGAGTTCGCAGGCTGGTAGCTTTCGCGATTAGCCGATAAGTTTTGGCAACACGACAGCGCATTGAATGCAATGCAATGAATGTGTGTGGGATCCCCCTGGGGAGAGTGCCACGCTCTTGGAGTGAACAGACACAGCAGACCCGGTTCGAAGGAACCAACCAAACACACATTTATTCAACTGCTTTTAAATCGACAATATCATCAGCTGAATATTATACTCATCAATTGGGATCAACACGCTATAAGATCATTACACCATCTTCTACAACACTCAAACACAAAACAAAATCAAGGCCGGGTCGCCAACGCCTGACTCACCAGGAGGGCTCCCGGCAAACGACCCGCGGTGCCATGCACAGGGAACCCACCACAAGAAACAACTGTTCGCGCCAACCGCCACGCGCAAAAAAGAGCCGCTGCTCTCTCCTGTGCCGCCATCAAGGCTTGCCGCCAGGCGTCACTGCTAGTGCCACCGTTCTAACCATGATGGTGATGGTGGTGATACACGCTTGCGAGCACAACACCACCTACCACTCGATAGCTGTGATCCCTGGATGCGGCCTCTGCGCGAGACACATGCGCCCCGAAGCGCGAACAACTTTAGGGGTGTTGGCAACCCCACACACGATAGCCAAAAATTGGAATGTTATAAGTAAGGCTGGCAGCCAACTCTTTTGGATTCAATTTTTCGGAACTCGTACAAAACGCTGATGTGAGCAAAGACGGCCGCTCCAGGGAGAAGTGCTTTTTTCGCAGAGTCCCCTCGCTTTGAAACCACACTAATACTTACCAAGATGGCAAGTGCGCCAGTGATCCCGACCGCCCTTAAAATCGAAGTTTATTATTCCTACTCGAGTGATTTCCTCCTTCCTCTTCTTGTAGATTCATGCTCCTTCAAGACTGTTTGAGCATTTGACGGCTGTTATAAAACGAGGCAGATGTTCTCTTATGCACTTTCGAGGCAGTATGGATGAGCCGACTCATTTGATCCCTAATTTAGCTTAGCAGCGCTCGCGCTCTTTTACCATCTCGTAGAAGTTATGCGCGGGGCATGTTATCAATTTGGACCTGTTACGAAACATGGCGGTGACAGCAAAAACCTGCCGAGAGTATCCATATAATTGCTATCGCAATAATAATGCAGCTTGTTAATGTAAAATAAGTGTTTTGGGTTATGTCTGCCTTCAGTCCCTCTTTTGTTTAATTTCTGCATTTATTTTTCGAATTTTCGTACTGGACCTGCATATAACTAAATTCGTTTTATGAAGAACTTTTCCTGGAATTTGTCAATGTCATTATATCCAGATTTACCTGTATTATGGCATGAAAGTCAAATCTTTAAATGATGGCTGGCAGTTGCAATCATTACATTTGTGGGGATCTGAGGCGTGCCCGTGACCATTTCGCGGGCATTCCGCCGCACGGCCACACCCTTTTGCTTTTTCTGCTCTGATAACGACGCGTCGCGATAAATGGCGCCACGTGCGGGCGCGGCACGCGGTATGCGCACGCCGAGGGAGCGCTCTCTCCTCCGTGGTCGGCACCGGGTAAGCACATGTTTTCCTTCGTCCGCGTCCTCTTTGTGAATCGCCGGACTGTAGCCTGCCTGGGGTGGCCTTTGGCACCTCGGCAGGCGTGTTTACTAGAGTGCTAGCATCGCTAGCATACGCTACGCCCACAGCAGTGCCTAGTGCTTGAAGTGGTCATACTACACCGAGCCGCACTTGCCGTAGGCCTACGCGTACGAGGTTTGCCCTAACAACACTCGCGACCTAACACTCGCGACCAGGCCCAGTGGCCATCGTGAGAGTGCGCAGCATAGCCGCTTGGGACCTTTTCCCTACCGGTGTGTCAAAGTTCGCCATTGCCAGCTGCGACGTGCTCGCGGCTCCTCCTTATTGTGTACGTCCGCGTGCGGGTGCCTTTGCTCCCTGCGTCCTGGGAGCGGACGTTGTACTGTTGTTCTGGGTGCCGCCAAAGGCAATAAAGTGTTGTGTGTTTTGTATTAGAACACTGTCTGTTTTGCCGCGCCT